TGTGTGTGTGTGTGTGTGTGTGTGTGTGTGTGTGTGTGTGTGTGTGTGTGTGTGTGTGTGTGTGTGTGTGTGTGTTTAAGAGAGTAAAAACGGGAATGGGAACAGAGCAGACGCTGAGCACTCTGTTAGCTCAGCCGTTGCATCGTTTCTCGACGGGCCTCTGCCTCTAGTCAAATCTGAGGGTATTTTTCTACAAACACTCTTATTATTTTATGACTGACATGTCAAAGGGCTAATTTCCCAATCACCTTTTCTCCAACAGAAAACAAGTAAAAAAAGAAAACATTATCAGCGGGAACAGTAGGAAAGGTATGTTATTGCCTGATTATCTCTAATGTGAGAAGAAATGGCACAATGACAAGTGCACAACCAGTACAGGAAAAAGTATGAATACAGAGAGTGAAGCACAAATATTTGATAACAACAAAAAGCAATAAGAAACTCTTCTTGAAATGACAAACAACTGAATATCTGACAGTATTTTGTCTGCAGGTAGCAAGAGGACTTAAATCACTTTCTGTGACCTCACTTACTGCTATATAAAATGCCTGCTATTGAAAGTGGCTGAGAAAAACACTGCATGAGAGAAAACGCCTTCTTTTGACTTGGTATTCCACATCACCTGAAGCGACAAATCAATACAGAACACCTTAGGAAACTCATATATCAGCTGGATAGTTTTTGTATCTCCCCCATTTGATTTATGTGGATCATTCTCAGAGAAGTCTTGTTTTTATTTTAAATCTAGGATGTCCTGATGAAGTCATTCTCATCTAAATAAAAGCATTACGTTTGAACATGTGTCTTGAATTTTATGTACAAGCCGGTCTTGTTTATGACGATTCTAATATTGAATTTCACTTCTTGTCCAGCGGGGGTGGTAATTTTGTGGCTGTGAGTGTTACGTCAATACACTTGAATTATGGGTGAACACGGCAGCAAATTTGCACACAAAACGACCCAATAAATATTAGAGCAGAAGGAAGAACATAGAGAAGATTATATTGCAGCTGTTTTAGGATGTTTGGGTTTATTCTAATAATTCTGGCTAAGTTAAAAAGTACTCTCTTTGGAGTGTTTGACCACTAGTGATGTTAGGGAGGAAGCAATGATTTTATCTTGTGCACAAACGCATCAGCATCCTTGTGCGTAACAGTCACGTCATCATGCCAATCAATTTATCAGCATTTGGGGAGCAATAACAAACTCAAAGAAGATGATTGCTAGCAATATATGTATGCAAATATGTTGTATGACATGCAAGTTAGACATACACAAGGGCTTCAAGTGATAAATAAGCTATTTGTATTACAAGTAAAAACTTCATTGGGTACCTTTAAATGCTGGGTTCTGGGAGCGCTCTGACATTGCTGAAAAGAATTCAGAACAGGCAAGAAAAAAAAAAGAGATCAGACGATTAGACTGGTTGAGACAAACCTGCACGGACCAGATTCACCACATTTGCCACATGCAAGCTAACATAAAACACATTTCTCTTCCTATTGACAGGTTTCTTACTCAAAACAAGTATCACAATATACTGTGAACATTTACAAGTTCTTGCAACTTTCTCATATCTTTTAGTGGTTTGTAGAAAAACCTCTCTTTAAAATGCAAACTATAACCTCCAAAATAATCATGAGGCTAAAACTTTATTACTGGACTGTCATAGTAGACTACGATAGTTTTAGCTAGGTGTACTCAATAAACTGGAAACTGAAATGCAATTTAAAAACTAAACTTAGTAGTGCCCACACATCATTTTGTCTGGTTTGTCATAGGTTAGCCAAACCTTTATGGAAGAAAAGGTGAAAGTGACTTAGAACAGATTTCCCATGCACTAGAGGATTGTTGTATTTAACAACATTTCAGCTGCCCTTATTTGGATAATCTGGCTACACTGTCGCTTGTGTTTTCCCAGTTCTAGCAATTGGAGAGTTAAATGTTATCATAACCGATAAAAACGAGGACCGAAAGTGTCAAACTATTAGATCATCAATCAAATGATGATCTAATAGTCAAGATACGCCCTTGCACATTAACACCGGCTACATGTTATTTAAACAAAATCCCACAGAAGGTCATACTGTCGTTGCATAAAGGACATCATATTTTCTCACTATTTCCAGGGACGGTTTCAGTTGTGCACAGTAATCCTCTCTGATGAGCAGCAGGGCCTGATAAGTCCAGTCAGTCTGCTACAGGACGGCCGTGTTTGGGCTGAGCTAAGCTGCAGGCCTAAAGAACGGCTTTAGACCCAATGTAAAGACTGACAGGAGCTCAGGTGGAAACGAAAGATAATGCAAACAAGATGTAGGAGAAGCTCTGGAGAGCTGAGTGAAGGAGAGATGAACACAGTTTCTCGTTATCTCCGCCATCTTTTGGATATGACTAGCTGAGAGGATGGTTAGATGAAAGAGAGGACTGTGGCATGACAGGAATGAGGAAGGCGTAGTAACATCTGTCTGTGTGTATGTATGTCTGCGTTGTGCTTTATATAGCATGCCGCTCACATTCCCTGTCAAGGAAGCTTTTCCAGATTATGAGGAGTAACAACAAGGAGACAAGCAGGAAATGAAAGGGTCTGGAGAAGAGACCTTCTGGGATATTTTCACATTGTTGCACCATGTTGAACCACACATACTGTAAACAGCACTCATGTTTTGTTCGCCTCGATAAAATTGCTGCTTGTTAACAATTTGTATTATTGAGATAACAGGCAAGAATATTTTTGAAATGTTTTGAACCCTGTCTTACAAGATAAGAAATAACATGTAAATAAAAAATGTAATAAAAAAACAACAGCACAGAACAGGCGAAAACCATTGCGATAAAACTAGACAACTTTTTAAACCTATTTCTCCGAATTCAATTTTGACACACTTAAATCTAAGCATTTGAGGTGTTGATAGACCAATTACAAAGTAGAAAGTAAATGGCCTTCAAACTCCAAATAAAGCAGAATATGCATCCGTCTCGTTCTCCATTGTCTGCTGGAAAATGTCAAGCTGATTATAACTTTATTGAACCATCCTCTCTTTTAACCTTTTACCCTAGCTTAGGATAGAAAGGCATTACACACACACACACACACACACACACACACACACACACACACACACACACACACACACACACACCTCACCTGATTCTGACGTGTCGTTGTCGTAGTCCAGAGCCTCCAGCACCAGAGAGAAGGATTTCTGTAGAGAAAACACAGAGAGATCATCAGTATTGTATCACATAAAACAACACAAATCAATTCAGCTGTTTCTTGTTGATGAAGGCCATAGAGATGAGCTGTGTTTCTACCTTTTCATAAATAAGGTTCTTTCTGATTAACTGGAGAAACAGTCCATAGTTTGAAATAACAGTGTGATAGGATATACTGTAAATGCAAATTACTGATATGTATATTCATTCATGTAAGTGGGTTACAAATGGAAAGCTTATGCAGAGTTTCTTCACTTTTAAGTGTCACAACATGACCTCTGTAACTATTGAATCTTGAATGCATAATGCATTATCTCCTTTATACATAATGCAATAGGTGTATTAAATTAAAGCATTGAAAATCATTGTTGGAGGCAATGTGGAGATATTTTACTTAATCAAAAGTAGAAATGTAGGCTATAAATAGTCATTATCATAAAGCTGCACAGGGAGTGTTATACTATTCATATACAGTACCTGAATATTTAGCAGCAGTTAACGAGGTACAGAAAGAAAGCATTCCTTTATTAATCGAACAAGGGGAAATTACTTAATTGTATACAGCTACCATTGCCTCGTTTCCTCTCTACAAATGAATCATATTTAAAAACATGATCATATACATAAAATTATATTATTTAAAAGTTGGTTGTAACGTATGCAGCAAAAATAAATGCAGTGGAAGCTTACTCTTCTGACGTACTTGTACTACTTGTACTGCAGTAAATGAGCCTAGCTTATTTCCATCTATGTGTTTTCAAGTTTTAGTGTGTTTCGATCGTTGCCCTAAGCCCTGAAAAAAAAGAAGTGATTCACTGCCCGATCAAGCCGAGGCTGTGCTGTGTGCTGATTCAAGAAAACCCTGACCTGCAGCCGTGCGGAGAGAAATGAACCGTTACATCAATGTGGTGAGAGAGGACGTCCAGAGTGCTTTATTTAGTTTTTGTACTCAGCATGCAGGTTAACCCTGGTTTAAGGGTATTGCCAGTAGCAGTAACAGCCTGTGTGATTAAATGTAATATTGTATTAAAATGCATAGCCTTACAGTATGTAACGATAAAGTCTGCATATCAATTCATCCTGCAGTACACAGGCAGAGGATTCGGGCATTAGCTGGACATCTTCAAATGATGACTTTGGGCTAACAGAGATATCACACTCTGGAGAGATAATAGAGGACAGCTGTTATTTTTTGATACATAAATTCATCGTATATAGAACATGAATTAATAATTCAGAGCAACGCTTTCCCCTACAACTCCTTTTCTCTCAATGCATCCCTTCCTCCTGTGAAACGTACCAGCGCCTGCCATGCAAATCGCTACCATTGTGAGTAAGGTTTCTCTCCTAAAGGGCTGCATGGATGTGTGGTCACGTCTTTGCTGGGAGAGAGTATACTGCCAGAGGGAGGATGAGTGGGAGGAGAGGAGGATGAAGAGACAGATGCTGTAGGACGCAGCCGTTGGGCACAGGAGGAGAGTGAGAGATTTGGAGGCAGGTTACGGAGGTCAGCAGCGACGCTTACCGTAGCTAGAGGCGAGAAAAGTGGCGCCACGCCAAGAGGGAAAGTGAAGATGAAGGGTTGAAGCAAAGGTGTGAATGTTAGAGAAGAGAAAATTGGTGGTGTAGAAACCACTGAGTCAGGGATTTGTTCAAAGTGGAGGTTCATCCAGTATATCTGTCCTGTAACAGATGAAGCGGTGAGGACAGGAGGAGTAAAAGAACCGAGAAAAGGGCAACAAAAGGTTAATTATGTAGGGAGTATGTAAAGAAACAGGGCAAAGAAAGAGGAGAAGTGAAGCCGTGGAAGCTGCAGTGGAATAACGATGTGTGGCACTCCTGGAGTTTGTCAGATTTTCAGATATGTGATGGAGAACAGAGAGATCAGAGGTAGGGGAACAAAAAGATGATGAGATAAAAATAAAGTACAAAAGAAAACAGATGAGATAAGATGAGAAAAAGAAAGCGGGGGAGGGAGAACACCCACCCACACACAGAGAGAAGTAGTGGATATAATGAGACGTGCTGGCAGCAGGCGGTTCATTACGGTCGGCTGATAGCAGGTAGCACACAGATGCACTGCACATTAATATTCAGCCTAAACTCTCTCTTGGAGTAATGTTTAGTATTCAAGGTTTACATCATTACCCTGCGAAATCTTGCAGTCGATTATAATCACCTTAGATCACAATCAGAGGTTTAATGTTGTACCAGAAGTAGACTTTCATTTGTATAAATGTTTCAGACTCTACTCTAATCTTTGCTCTCTTAACGACTCAAGAATATTATTAACAATGAGAAATGTTGAGACACTAAATCTAAATAGGCAATACCTTTTTGTACAGGATAAAAATACACCTGTCTAATCTTTAGAAAGTAGTCCGATAAAGCCTGCCGCTTAGATTTTCCAACTATGCCACAAATATCAGAATCCGGAGTCTAGTGAGCTCGGTTATTTTGAACTCAACAACCTTCAGATTTGTTTTTTGTATTTATTTTCAAACCTTCAATAATGCTGCTTGAGTTTGAGCGATTGTTGGCATCAGACTGGCTATGATAAACTGTCCACTACTACAAAATGCACACTCAGCATTACCTCACTGTTTGCCTGCTCACAGACCTCTTCGTCTTATCGTCTTTCTGATCGCCCTCCCTCTTCACTCCCTCACCCTTCCTTCCACCCACCGTTTGCCTCTCTCTCTGACCCTCTGCCAACACTTAGCAGGTTAAGACCTGTGGGAAGTCTAGAGCCTTTTGCTTTTCTTGTTCTCGCTCGTATTCAGTGCATATTGCCAGGTAAGGTATGACATATCATCGATACAGGAAGGGTGTATCTACGGTAAGCCCTGTTGCCATGGCTGAGCATCCTGTATGACATGGTTCCCAAGTTAAAATCACAACAACAACCACTGATAAGACTCAGAATATGTGTGTAAAAAGATTAAGAACATTACCCGCAATAAACTCTTCCTGACAACCTTTCCAAAACACAGTGTGTGAGGTCAGGGAGACCTGCGGCCATTAGAGGCCAGACAAAGGCAAAGTCAAGGGAGAAGAAAATCGGACTGCAAACATCACCAAGCTGATAAGATCACAGTCCACGACCAAGTGATATTTTTTCCTCTTTGGTTCAAACAACATCTCAATGTTGGTGTGCATTTTGTGGAGATAATGGCCAGAATGACAGCAGGGAAATTAGGGGAAAGTGTGTCCTGTATGTGTGGAGTGAGTGTGAAATGTAGAGCTAGCACAAGTAAGAATTGTGAGATACCTTTTAAACATTGAAGTTTGGTTAATCACCAACACCACAAACAAAAAGGTCAGAGCATATTTTATTGTGCCTGATAAATGTTAACTAATTTACATTAATATCATTGTTATGAGTGAAGTTGACGTTCCCAGAAAATTGGAATACACTTAAAAATGTAATGAAAAGTCAAGATGTAAAATGGACTCTAAATTCTGACATCATCTGAAATTGTTTCCCAATGCTGAATGTTTGTCTTCCCTTAATGTGTAACTGACTGCCTTTTTATGAACAAGTGAGAATATTTCTTTAAATATGTTTGTATAATTAGTTCCTGTTGTCCAATGAACATTTCTATTTTTACACAAAAGACACAAAGCTATATACTGCCAGCTGATTTTTTTCACGAGTGAAATGCCTGGCATGTTGATCCCCAATACCCTTTTTCAAGTCCAATGTCCTTCTACTCTGAATAAATCTTACCCACCTGAATCATGATAGCCTTTCTGTCGGAAAGCACTCTTGTTTCCTTGTTGTTCCCAAATGAATTAGATTTATAGATCACTTTGAAAAAATTTTTTGAATAGCATTAGCAGGAAAAGCACAGGTGTAACTAATAACATTAGCGATGTGCTCTGCTCCAGCTATTAATGCAGTGCAATGCAGCATGCATAATGAGTTCATTAGTTACACCTGTGTTTGACAAATCAACACGTCTGCTGTGGAAAAGTGTTGCAAATCCTTTTAACTCACTAGGAAGAGTCAAAAAAGGACATTGGATTCAACTCGGGTGCTTTTAGGAGACAGATTATTTCCTACAGTGGGGAAATAAATAGTCAAGCATACTTCCTGTTTAAATGCTGCACAGTCTTAAAACGCTTACAATTTTGTGTTACAATGTGTGACACATCAACGTGTTTTCATGACCTACTGTTGTTGTTTCAACTGTCCAAATATGAATTTGTACTCAAATAACAGATATAAATTTCTCAAACAGGTTAACAGTTATCAGCTAGCACCCGACTGTAGCTGATATGTGAAAGTATATATTTGAATGTACATTGGATTTTCTCAACATCCAAGCCATGCACTTCTTGTCTATTTCTTTTTTCTCTCCATAGAAATTGTTTCCACTCCTCTTCAGAAACAATAACCTTTTCAGTCAGATCTCATTCTGATAGATGACGTGCAGATCTGAGCCTGGCATGGCCTGGGAGAAAAGGGATCTCCCAAAAAACAAGAAATCAAACATCAAAACAGGAGCATTAGCCCTGATGATTATCCTCCCTGTCTTCAGGTTGTCTGGACGTCTCGCCCCTTCCCCTCGCCTGCAGCCTCACATCAGTCTAACAGCGCTGAATCTCAGGGTTACAGCAGCTAATTCAAACCACTGCGCAGACGTTTGTGATGGCATGTTAAGTTACATTTAATGAAGGTTTTTAAAAAGTCCACCTTGTTCTCTGTCGCTCCTCCAGTCTCTCAGTCTGAGCCCTTACTCTCCCCCCCCGATATTGATGCCCCTCTCTCTCCCCCTTGCCATCCCTCCCTCCATCCATCTCTCCCTCTCTCAGACATGGGCAGGGTAGGATATCCCGACAAAGCCAGGCTGTAAAAACACAGCACTACAACAGGAAGAACTCCCAGCCCTGAGAGAGGAATTTCCCCTCAGTACTCACACAATAATGAATACACACTAACACACACACAACCATGCACACGCATACAGACACAAACAGGCATCCAATATTATCAGACAGATTGCTAATCTTTATTTTTCCACATACAACGCTTGTTTTAGCCCTGAAAATATTAGTCTACTAACTACAATGGAGATTGAAGTTGATCAAATGTGTCATTTATCATTTTAGACAACAGGATTCAGTCCTTTAATCATTTCACAACCATGTAGAGCAGTAATGACTGGTAGCACTTTATTTTATTTTCTGTAATGTTCCTGTTTCTAGGAAGGAAATACACCACCAGGGTTTTCATTCAGTAATTTATGATTAGCTGTTGTTTTAAGGAAGGATTTAACCCCAAAAGCTTAAATAACTGATTGTTTTGCCGCTTGACGGCAGCAGAAACTATTTGTGAACACGACATTGAGATACTTTGTGGATTATATGTTGATTTGTATTTTGCAGAAACTATTTGTTAGCAGAAAGTGCTTATTTACACATCCAGTATAAGGAGCAGCATTAGAATTTATTTGCAGCTGTGTTTGTTACCACCTGAAGAAACCTTAGTTAACTCTATTTACCCCAGGCTTTGATCTTTACCAACTATAAAAACAAATTCTTATTCATCATTCATTTTGGAGACTTTATTGTTAAATTGCTTGCATGCATGTTTCAGCTGAGCTGCGGTGCAAATAATTAACTGAAATTAATTAACTGGCAATACACCAGATGTCTGTTTCTTTCTTTAATTAGTACCAAACAACATAGGTTTTTAGAAAAACAAGGAAATTATTAGAAATAATGTCATAGTGTATTGATTAATTATCAAGTGATTTTATCTTCCCATATCTTACATTATAGCTCATTCTCTTTTTATGTTACCGTTAGTGTTTTTTCTTTTCACATATCTAATCATTTATTCATCTCTTTATTTCAATCATGCAACATTTCCACACTTTTCCAATTTTCCTAATGGATATATGATAATGAGAGTATATCTATGAACGTCCTGAGCAATGATTAGCTGAGGGTGGGAGATGCTGTCAATAAAATATGTTTTAGTTCATTTGAAAAACTAACTGGTGGGACGGGGAAAAATAATCAGTATCTCCCATTTTTTACCAACTGTTTGGAAGTTAAATAGAAACATTTGAATTATTTAACTCACTGCACTACTAGCCAAATCCAAAAGCCACACAAATAACACCTTGATATACAATCATTTATAACGCATACCATATTACAACATCAGTTTCGTTGCCTTTGTTGCATGACTTTCTTTCTCAACCATTTCTACAATGGCCACTATTCAATTAAGTAGAAACAAAAATAATCCTCACACTTTGGTCGTCTTGTATGTCCAAATTCACAAGAATTAAGTCAATCCTGCATTAAGTAAGTAAACAAATGCACTTAAACCTGTATGCTAATAAACATCAAGGTCAGTCAGATAGCAATATAAAAAGTGTGTATGCGCACACATGCACACACAAACATCAACATGCAAGTGACTTAAGACTATTAAACATTCGCTGAGTAGATGATGAGGAAAATGTAATCAACGGCAAATGTTTCACACAACTTTTATTATTCATAATCTGCAGCTGGCCGTAAGCTGTTCCATAAACCTGCCAAGTCTCACCCTTTGCATCAGAAAGCTGAAGTAATTACAGAGTCGGACATTTACAAACACAAAAGAGAGCTAACAGAGACACACACAAACATGCAAGCGGTTGTCATGGAAGCAGCTGTGCCTGTGCCTGATTGGCCGGGTGACACCTCACCTGCACTGCAAATTATAGTGGACGTAACCACAGTAACAATGCCATTACTATTCTAGCGGCAAAGCTCATACAGTAGATAGGAAAGTGTGTGTTTTCAGGCTCATGTTATGTGTGTAAAGAATACTGAAAACAGCTGAGAAGGTTTCATAAGGTTTATATCCACTACTAAAGAATTACATAAAATGGACACTTAGGGCTTTCCAAATTTCATAATTAAAGAAGCTTAGTGTCAAACATGACACTAAGTCATAGTTATAGCCACATTATAGTGTTATCGATTGATTGGGTGCTTACAATAACAAACAAAAAACTAAAATATTTCTCAGAAGGGACAAGAGAGTAAGAGAGACGTGACGTAATGGTGGCTAATGTGTGAAGTCTTTGTAAAAACGATCCAATTCTTCCCTCAGGTGACACACACACACACACACACACACACACACACACACACACACACACACACACACACACACACACACACACACACACACACACACACACACACACACACACGATGTGGAATTAGACCCCCGGTGTGCAGCCATCTACCCCACCCTGCTCCTGTGACCCCGCCCCTGTAATTAAATGTCTCTGTTCTTGCATTCTCAAGAATACAAGATGTGAAAATCTTCCAGTGTTTGACCTGCATTCAAAATCTTACATAAGTAAAAGTACGAAGGTATAAACCGCAGACGTTGTCAAAAGTGAAATCACTCATTCAGTAAAATATCCTTTACAACACATGTATTATGATTAGTCATTAGATTCTGATGCAAAAAGGTTGAGGAGGAACTAGTTGTAATAACTATAAATAAAGTTAGCTGAAAAAGTCCCAACCTAGGGGTCGGCTCCGGCAAAGAGACAAAAGATGTAGTTGTGAAATGTATACAAAACTAATTTGTCTTGCTACTCTTCTCTAATCTTTTATGTCTGAAATGTTGGATAATTTGACATATTAGAGCATTAGTCTTGTTTTACATGAAACAGATTTTTCCTTGACCTTGACTGCATGGTTATTTTTGTAAACATGTCAATGAAGATCCACTAACCTTAACCATAACTATGATTTTTCCTTAAACCACATCATTCCACAATAGGAAAAAGTAAAAATATGTGTTTCCGTTTCCTTGGAAATAGCCCATTACTTCCTTAAAAGGTTTTTAAATGAATTTACTCTTTGGTGGAACTGGAACTCGGGGACCTCGGAAGCGTAAAAAAAACACAAACCAACGGTGGGAACCACTAGTTAGTTGAATTAATCAATGAATGAAACTATCAGCTGAAAGACAAATGTGGATGCGTTAAAGGTACCATATTTCGCCTCTGAAACGAAGTGAAGAAGAAACAAAAACTAGGCAACATATCCCCTTTCCAATTTTCAATGGCCTTGGGTTACCACCAGCGCCTGCGCCTCTATCTGTCAGACAGTCACATTCCTGCCGGGTTAATTGAGTTAAGCTAAACTATGTGGCCGCTCTAATCGCTGTGGAACAACAGAGGCTTCTTGACATGACGTGCCCTCATCCTCCATGTCGCCCTGCCCCATCTCCATCCTGTCCCCTTCATCGTCTCTCCCCTCCTTCAACTCCTGCTGCTTCATTAACAGGGTGAGTAAGACGCTATGATAAACACACCTCCCTATCTACATCTTCACCCCCACCCAAAACACCTATGCCCCTCTTTGAGATCATCCAGTGAATCCTCCATCTTCTATACGCAGTCTCTCCTCCTTCAACTTTACCCTTTTGCTCATTAATCTCAACTCTTTTTAGCACCCTCTACCCTCCCTTACATCGCCAGTCCTAGCCCAGACCGATCCCACCCCCCTCCTTTCTTTCGCCTCTCCGACTTCCGCAGGAAATTACCTTGTCTGGACGCTTCACATCCACTGCTGCACTTGCAGAGAGACGCATTACGAGTGAGAAAATAGTCTGGGAGTAGTGTGTGTTAACAGTGTGTGTGAGCACTCAGATTTCTGAACACATTACAGGAATCTCACATTTAGAGGATCTATGAAGATGGTATGAAGATGGTAATTACTTTTGACGACTGAGATACAGTTGTAGATAGAGAGATGGATACAGAGGATACATATAAAGTC